GTAATGGCCTTAATTTGGGTAGAGGATCGTCTCGTGTCTTGACGGAAATCCATTCGGATCCTGTGGCTCAGAGCTGGTGAATTTTTTTGGGTCTACCACTTGACTTTTTTGTTCCATAACCCTCAGGATCATTTAAAAAATGCTAAATGACAGTCTTACTGCGTCCAACTTCAGCAGCGATGGCACGTTGTGAGAGGCCTTGCTTATGCAGCTCAACAATCCTACCATGTTCAAAGTCAGTGAGCTTTTTTACTTTTGCCATCAGGAGGTCTTGACAGTGTAAAGACTTGACGGAAAATGACATGGAATCCAGATTTTTGCATAGCTTTTAAAGACTATGGCCTTAAACTTTTGATCAGCTGAAAAAATCATGTTTAAGTGTAAATGCAGTTTTCAGAAAATTCCCTGCTCAAAAGTTCTTGTCTCTTGCACAGATTTCTTCTTTTAACATTGTGAAGCTCTACTTAGAACCTTCTTAAGATCCAATAGTGCAAAATGCAAATTCTTGCACTTTTTTGACTGGTCTTAAGATTTTGATCAGGAGTGTACATTGCAGGACAGTAAGCTAAAAGCTAAGAATCAAATGACTAGCCACAAGCTAAAACTAGAAAAAGCTGTCACTGTAAGTAGAACCTAAAGAAAAAAGTAGTAGAATTCATGCTAGAACCTAACGTTTTGAACTCCCAGCTTCATGTGGAAATGAGAAACGGATAACAAAATAAAACACATACACACCAACCCCCAGATGAACTTACCAAGACATAGGTGTCATGCTTGTGTTTCTTTCTGTGCATGGGAATATCTGAAGAAGGAAAAAAGATCACTGTTGGCATTTAATGACTTTAAACAAGAATGGCAGAAAATTACAGGAAAACAGCAAATAAAGATTCACAGGTTTTCTTTGTTTAGCTGTAGAAATAAAACCAAACTTAAACAGTGTAATTTTGATATATTCACAGAAATATACAGACAAGATCTGATGTGAAACATCTACTGGACAGTTCATGTAAAAGCACTGTTAAACAGAGAGACTCTAGTTGGCCTCTCTGCAATGCTCCTGTGTTCCAAAATGATGCTGCTGCCTTGAAAGCAATTATCTACTGTCACTGTGAGCCAAAGTCACCATTAAAGGCCTGATGTGTCGAACTGAATTTCTAGAAAATATATTTATCACATTCCTTTTGTTTTTCTTTTTTTAAGTTGCTTTATTTTGCTGTTTTGGCTCTCAGCCATGAGTGGAAGTTACATAACTTAACTATTATTAGGCAACATGCTTCATGACACATTAACCAGTTGCAGCAGAAGTATTGAAATATTTTACCTTAGTGGAAAATTAATGATCATTGCATTTTAAAATGTCTAAAACAAGAAAAACTTTACTTTAGTTAAAAGTACAAACATTGGTTTAGCCCAGTGTTTCCCAAAGTTGGGGTCGGGACCCAAAGAAGGGTCCCAAAACATCAAGGTGGGGTCCTGAAAAATATTTTCTGAATTAATTACATTTTTGCCTTAGTTGTTACAAAGGAGTGAGGTTAGTATATTTAAAATGTATAAATGTAGTATAAAAATATTGTTA